AGAACTCTTTCTTTGCAATTACAGGCAGGGATTGAGAATAGCACAGTCCTGTAATATAAACACCCCAATTACGTTATTAAATGATTTCTAAGCTTTTATATCACTGCAGTTTTCATTCAGAGTTTAAGTAAAACTCCTATTGAGTTATAAGTAGTTATGCCAGCCTAAAAAAGGAGTATTTGGGGGTAACTAATAAACCTCTTTGTCAACCAACTGTATTTCCACTGTTCATGGGTAGATGAAGGAATTTACAGGGGAGAAAGGATTGTCAGTTCATACACAAAAGCTCTAGATTGCTATAGTCTATTTTTCCCCATGGGAATTTTAGGATTTCAGGAGCAAGGGTAAAATGTAATGAAACATGGACTCATAGAGGAAAGGTGACTGCAAATCAGAGCATCAATTAGGTCAAGCTGGAAAGCAGCAATTAGACCCAACTGCATGTGCTAGTTACAATAGCTACAGGTTCAACATGTGCAAAGAAAATGAATCCTGGTAATTGAACTTCTACATTCCATATACTGGTATGCATATACTGGTATATATTTTCTTCTAATTTGAGAGCTGTTGTTAACAGAAATTACATGACCGTTAGATAAAGGAACATGCAACATCAGAGAGGAAGGTCTCTGATCAGAACCTAGACAAGGGCGAAGCAATCAATTGAATTGGATAGAAATTTCATGACATGGCTAAGGAAGTGCATGAGACTGAAAGGAAAATTAGCTTAAATTACATACCACTGAGAAGTCATTCAGTATGCCAGGCCTGATCCCACAATTTCTTGTCTTGTTTATATCCTGGCAAGTGTTATACTCATTCAATCCAGGTCACAAAAAGCTTCATGTATGTACACACAGACCTTCATCACTGCCCTCCTTTAGTTCCCTTAGTGCTGCATGTTTCCCTTCACAGCTGGCCAGGACCCTATGAACAGCCCATCATTCACTCTTGCCTTCCCTCTCAATGCAAAACAAGAAGGAATCTTGTGGCACTTCTAGTGGCACACAAGATTAGTCTGCCAGGAGCCTTCCTCAGTATCCAGCACTCTGCCTGGAGCTGTGCCTTTACCAAACCTGTGCTTAGCACAGGCAGGGTCTGTGCCAGGATGAGGCAAACAACACTGGTTTTCAGGGGGATTATCTGGGTTTTTAGTCATACAAAGGTGCTTCTTCCTGGATAAAATAAGTGTTCTAACAAAGAACTGTGAATGAAGACTTCCAAGGGAAGGTCTTTCAGTCTATGGCTTTTGAGGACACAGTTGCATGGCCACAAACACTGACTCAGCACATTTAGCAGAAAATATGATGCAGATGAAGAGTTGATTACAATGTGGATCACAGCGGAAAGTGTACACAGATTTTTAAACACACACACACCAGTTTTGTGCTGTCTGACACATGTAACCTGGTGGTTAATCAAGCAAGGTTTCTGTGAGCCGATCTGAACCAGCATACTGGGGTTTATGCTGCTTTGTGTTACAAAGCCTGAATTTACAGCATCACCAAATCGTGGTTTCAGTTAAAGTTTAGTCACTTCTCAGTATCAGGTCATTTTCTCAGGGAAAATCTGCAGCTTCTGTTTTCCTCGATAAGGCAGGCCATGATCTAGCTCTGAATAAGGGCAGTTAGCATATGCAAGAATCTAAAGCTGCACACATTCTGTGACAACAGAAGTTAGCAGTCTCCCTTATTCTGTGAATGGCTTCTAGCAGTAAACCCAACAGGAAAAAATAAAAGATTTTACTAGCTGCTTTAATGCACTGTTGTCTCATTCACCAAAGGTAAGACAAATTCACACCTACTAATTACTCTCCTTGGAGGTGAGCCCACTCCAGGCCAGCAGAGAAGTGGCCTAGGTGTGACATACTTTTGCACAAAGCCATTGAAATTCACCCTCTGGATGTGGAAATGCACTCACATTAGCCCAAGCACTCCATCTCAGTTCTGGGAAAGTTTCACCATCCTTGGGGCTGAACCAGGAGTGAAGCTGCCTCTGAACACGTGCACGTGGGGGTACATAAGAATGAACCCACGTGTGTACACGCACTTTTATGTGCAATCTGAAAGGGACTGGGGATAGTTTGGAGGGTTTGGTATCTGTAGGAAAGCCCTGGAATTTACTATACACACCCAGTTACTCCTCTTTACCGGAGACAATCTCCAGGACTATGAATAAATACTATCCTCCATGGCTCTTTCAAATAATTGCCCCATTTCCTATACGAAGAACAGGAACCATAGTAATTACCCTTGGCAGTCTGGAAGAAACACCCGAGCATTCCTAGAAGATTGCCTCATACCAAACAGCATTTTCAAGCCTGCAGAGTGGATAGAAGAGAACTTACAGCAGCGCTGTACTCCAGCTTCCTCAGGGCAGGCACATAGACGTTTTCTCTTCCTCCCCAGCTCACCCCATTCCCCAGAAAAAAGGAAACCACCTCAGATCAATTTCCCCAAGCCCATCCTTTCTGCCTTACCTGTTCCTGAACACCCCCAGCAGATCCTTTCCCCTGCTTCAGTGCCAAGGAGCACCTGCCCATCATCTGCACCTTGTGAAAGGAGTACCACAGAAATCCCTTAAAACAAACATTCCTACAATCAGGAAACCACTCCTGTGAATTTGTGCTCTTCACAGTTGGCTCTCTCCCACAACACACTGAGACCCCACTGCCATGTTGGCTTAGTGCTCTCCCCACCTTAAGGAGCAGAGTGTGACTGCACATACCTCACAAGTCTGGATCACTTTAGTTCCAAATTTGGACCAAATGCTTTGTCATGGGGCTGAGTGTAACCCTTCAGCTCTACCATGAGTAGGATTTTCTTCTTATTTTGGAATTTGTACAAGTTTCAGTTCATGAATGAGAAGAAAATTCACCTTTACTTTAAAGCAAAACAAAACAAAACAAAAGGCAACAAAAAGAAAGAGCCTACTTGTGCTTAATTGTTATTCTAATTATAAGTTGTGGTGTAGTGTAAATTTTTTCCCTTGGCATTATTATGAACCTCATTTCCTTACAAAGTCCAGGATAAACAATTCCAATATATTTTGTTTTAATTATCAGGGTTTAATGGGGCATAATAAGACTAAGTTGAGTGGTGCAGAAAAAAAATAATTTAATGTGTGCAAAACTGCCTAGTGCTCCTAGCTTGCCTGTGCATATTTCACCTATTGTAGGGCAGCGCTATGTTAGCTAATATTCAGTGTGCCTATCATTTATTTATTAATTATACTTGCTTTTCAGTAGAATTTTTTTTTCCTGGCATCTGAAACAAGAAGAAACACATTACGACATCCTAGAAAAACAATGGGCAGTTCTCTGGGTTGAGCAGCGAAGGATGAAGCTGATATACAGCTAATGGTGCTGGAAGCATTTGTCATGCATGGACAGAAGATGCAACGTTGGACACAGATCCTGCCTCTGCCAATCCACTCCAAATGCTGCCAGTAAAAACTTCTGGCTTCAGTTCTTAGGGCCTCTACCACAAGAAGGAAAATAAAACATCAGCTGAAGTCATTCAGAAACAACTTGGTCCAGATCCTCACTGTGGATGCATCTTGCCACTCCCAAGGTGTGGCTCCTACAAAGTGAAAACACTGCAGGTACTTCTGCAGTGAAAAGGGAAAAGTGCATAAGAGCAGCTGGGAAATAGAACAGTTAAAGGGAGATCCTTTATGGCCTTCTATGCTTCCCAAGGTCCCTTTGGCAATGGCACTGAATCCCATGGCTGGGTGTGGCTGATGCAGCAGTGAGAACCACCCTGTACCAGATTCACATTCCACTGTACCAGGGCAACCACACACCAGGACCAAAACACTTTCACTTGAGGAACAACTACTGGATCCTCCTTGAAGGGAAACATGTCTATCCTCCTTATCTGTCATACTCCTTGGCACAGAGGACTTAATACAGTATCCACTGAAGCCATTGGGAATGTCCTCTCTTCTGGAAAATTATTTGATTCATGACACTAGGAAAGGTTCAAATACAACATACAAACCATACCAATGTTACATTACATTTATTTAAAAATTTGCATTTTATATTACAGATTAATTTAATACACCCCAAGTGTTTAGGTTTTAAATTAAATAAATTTATTATACACATCAGTATTTACAGAAAGAAAAACATTACTTTTTTTTTTTAAGTCTCATTGGAGTAAAAAAATTCTCCATGAAGATTCTAGCCATGGGAGATGCCACATTCTGTGAGAGGTCAGCCTCCTTCAAGGGTTCATGGAAACAAGAAACCAACCAGGCTTAAGATACACCTCAATGAATTGACTGAGGAATGGCAATGAGCTGGTTACCTGCAGGAAAATGCAGCAAGACTGAAAGATCTCAAGGGGCCCCATCCAAGCCTGTGCCCTCTATTCCTCAAAGAAGGGAGGGAATCAGCAGGTACATTGTGCATTCTAACAAAACTTGCCTCAGACACCAGACCACGCCAGTATCTAGCACATTCTCATGGACCTCCAAAGCTTCATGGTTTTCTTTCTTCTTACTAAACCACGAGGATTCTGACCCAAGCTTAGGATCCCACAGTACAGCAAATACACAGAGGCAGTCTCTGGTGCCACATACCCTGACAGCCATTACAGGGACAGGCACTGCCTCACCTTACAGAGTTGCAGCCCTGAGTTAGAAGCCAAGTATGATTCCCAGACAAATACTGACCCATGGGCTCCTTCAGACTGGCTAGCAAGTCCCATGGGGACTTATGAGGAGTTCTCTGCATTTGGTAGAGCTGCATAAAGCTCAGGGGAAGAAGTCCATTTCCTGGTAATGCATGATCTGCAAATGGCAGAAACCTCTGAAATTAGCTCTGGGCAAATACTTACCCTGAAAGCTCAAAGTAGGACTGCACATCCCCACTGGACTGTGCATCCAAAACTGATTAGGGCTGTGCTACTGACACCTGCATCCCATCCTGGATGGAGGCAGCATGCCATGCCTGTTAAATCACTAGAAATTCTGAGCCTTGGTATACAGAACAAGACCTTAATTTGAACAGTCAACTTAATGTGCTTCAACTCCTTCACATAGTAAGTTCCTGATTTTAATATTTTCCTTGGTGAACAGGCACTCAAAGAGTTCTCCATGGAGGTCTTGAAGTCCTCAGGTCTTCACAAGCCAGCCACCTTTCCACAGCCATGATGAGAGGAGAAGGATTTGAAGCACAGACCAGTTTCTGTCTCTCCTGCCCTGTAAACTGAAATGCCATCTCCTTTAGTATCTTCAGTGGCAAACGGGGAACTGAATCCAGGTGCACACAAATGCAGAGAAAAAAGAAGTCTTGCTAATGACAACCACACCTTGTTGCCACCATGTCTTTATAATTTTTAAGGACGACATTCTGTTTGTCATCAAAGTAGAGAAGATTGAGGGACTTCAATTCATCTGGCACACAGCAGGGCATGCTGACATCCTGAGACAATTTCAGTGTATAAACAATGGACTGAACTGTGGCATGGTTTGTTGCATTTAGACTTTCCCCCAAAGGGAAGATGCAGGATCCTCTGCAGTAAAATGCATTGTATCCACTTGGGTGAATAATCCATCCTGACCAGCCAATGGCATGGAAGTCCACATAGAGCTCCCTTCTGTGACATGCTGCCAAGGGGCTCCTGGCAGCAGGGGCTGCAGCAGCCCGGGGTCTCCTGCTCAGGCTGGCACTGCTGCTTTCCATGACAGCAGTGTCACCAGGAACATGTGAAGATTTGGCAGGGTGGTTTGCTTCTGATTCTGAAAGGAAGCTGTATGTTAATATTTCACAAACAAAGTTCATCTACAAAGTACAGTATTCTGTGTGAAAGTCTATTAAGCAAATCTACATCGAAGCCTTCAGAGCAGATTTTAAAACTGCACCTAACCTGTGAATGTACCAGCAGGGGTGTGTATTCAATTGCCACTTCAGCAATACTTCCTAATCTGTCAAATCTTGTGTCTTGGAAAAGCCCCAATTCAGCAGAAATAGGAAAAAACCCACAATGATCTACTAAATATTCTGAACTCCACAGTTCCTCTTCAGGGCTGAATCTAGTCAGAATGGTATTAACTGCCTTCATACAGCCACTCCTACAACACACATTATTCTGGGCAGTGCTAACAGAGGGTGGAGATCACAGCCTTTTTCTCTCCAGTATTCTCCCAAGAGCTATACCCATACACTTGCAAAGCAGAATGTGCAGAAACCTGGTAATGTGCAAAGTAACATCGTAAAAAAAATTATTTTTCAAATTTTTGATCCTAGAAAAAACCACCACCAGGTTTACAGAACACTGCTAAGGAATGAAGTGTACTGACAATAGGATGCTTTCTTAAAGTACCTTCTGAGAAGCCCTGGGATCCATACAGATGCATGTACACAAGCTGGAACTCACTGATATCTAGAACAACCTGTGTGGTCACTGACCATTAACAATGGGCAGGTCTGGAGAGTTTCTTTGTTAAGAAATTTCTCAATCCTGACACAGTGCAGAGCTTGATGCTCATTAAACTAGATCTAGAAATTGATTGCACTATCAATTTTTATTTGGAAAACAAAAATAAACAGACCAGCCTAATTTTTAAATTATATTTCTAATCAATTTCACCACCTGTTTCTTAATATTGTTCTACCTAGCTTCTAATATGCAAATACAACCGTTTACCAGGAAAGCCTGGAAAGCCAGAACAGCATGATTTTTGCCCCTCCTTCAAGCTCTTTGCATTTATCAGGCCCTAAAATCCAGCCTCAGCTGACTTGACATTAAGGCCAATGGGAGAGGTAAGACACTGTTTTGTATTTTAAGGCACTAGGGCGTTGTCTTTGATGAAAGCAGCCTTTAGTCACAATGCTAATTAGTCACTGAAGTTAAAAATGTGCTTAAAAACCAAGGACAGAGAAGTTCAAATTGCTTGTTTAACAACCTCTTTCACTCTTAAAATTACACTTAATGACTCTACTTACAGATACTTTACCAGAGTTTTGACAAAGCATTCCAGGTCACTGAGGTTTTTTTCAGTATAAACCTAACATACAATTTTCATGCAAATTTAACCACCACAAAAATAATATAAGCAGTACTTAAAAAATAGAACTCCCATCCCTTTACAAACAAAATAAACCCGATTCTCATTAGGACTAATGAATATTTCTGGCACACACAGTTTTTGTGAGGGGAGGGGCAATTTAGGGTGCTGGTGACCTACTAGAAAGGACTATCAAATCAAATTTCGATCACTGACAAAGCAAAACTTCAAACCGGTTCAATACTGCACTAAACTAAATAAATAACTGAGGTTAGGTGTACATGAGGTAGCAGGAGGCGACAGAAGATGAGCAGGCAATCCATATTCTAAAAGTGCACTTACTTGTAGCAGAGGGTAGGAAGCTGTGAGACCTCCGTTTGTTACTGTTGGTGAAGAGAACAAGGAGAGCATTTCTGCTCTCCTGCAAAGTGCTCTGGCTCTTGGCAAACGTAACCACGTCGTGTTTCATTCCATTGCTGGAAACATATGTCGCAGTTATCCAAAAGCCATGGTTGGAGCTGCTGTTTCCAACCCACTTGGAAACCTGGTGAAGATAGGGAAAAGAAAAAATGTTGTTTCAATATTCTAATTACAGCATTATAATTAAGCAATGTTTATAATAAGTTTATATTAGGAAAAGAGAATAGGCAAAAAGCGAGGAGAGCATAAGGACATATATTATAATAGAAGTGAGATAACTGTATAGCTGAGACTCCATTGACTTGAATATTTAAACAAGTAATTCAACACTTAAAATACAAAATAGCATAAGCATTCCCAAAAGCTACATTTACATACAGATAATTAATTTCAGAGGATTTACCAGTGAACACTTGAGTGTACACTCAACACTTTTTAATATTAAAATAAGCTGTCTCTGACTTTCAGCAGGAATTTATTTTTCATAGCAATCTGAACACAGTAATGTGAACTCTCCAGATTTTTCATACGTTAAGACTTATGTAAATCTAAAAAAACATGGCATTTGAAGAAATTCACAATCAAGCAAATTTACTTATCTAATTGTTATAATTGCACACTGATCGATTAGGCCAGGTCATTCTCTAGCAGGAATATCATGATTTAAGAGGGAACTCAACCAATCATCCAAGCATGCTGTTCAGCCTGATCATAAAGCTTAGGCAATGAAAAGCACCGTCCCAGAGTAGCTTTAATCCACGTGTGGGTTCTTTTGCTATGGAAAGGCATTCACCTACTGTTACAATTTATGGATAGCTACAAAGCAGATCCTGAAGCTCACAGATACAGAAGTCTATGGAGGAAGCTGAATGACAGGCAACCCAACCATGACAAACTCCGGAAACACAATGTTGAAGCAATACTGCTCTACAGAGATGCTGCCAGAATAAAAGGAGAAATTAAAACCTACTGTTAGAAGGCAACCAATGCCAATTGCTTTGGCAGTCTAAAGACTAACACAAGGTTTTAATCAGTGTTGGCCTGACGTCCCTTAATCGGCTAGGTTTGGGTTACTCAGTTCTCGCCATGCTTGTGCTCCTCGCAGCTCATAAACACTTCTTTATTCCAGGTAGCACTGGGTGTATTTTTAAGGGTAGAGAGAAAGCTTCTCCCTCTGCTGCTGTCCTGTTTGAACTGACCTCAAAACCCAGCCTAATGGCAATGCTGGAGTTATAAGGTGTCATTTCAAGAGTTTAAGAAAAAAAATTAAGTCAGACTTTTCTGCTTACTGTCTGTGTGACGTTGAAGACTTCCCAGCCTTCCGTGTAGAGGGACAATAATCTTGATGCAATGAGATGCTTTTTCTGTGGCTTATTTTCACCCTCTAAGAGCTCATACACTTCCACCTAAATAACAGCAATATACAACAAAACCAAGAAGAAATTAATTTGATTGTTCTTACAGCAAACTAGGAGGATGAAGATTAAGCAGGTTTCTGCTACATCACAGCTATGAAACTGTACCATCATTCTAAAAGAGGTAAAAAGTAGATTTGGGACAGTTTAACAGAAAAAGTTATCGCTACATACATCTGCTTCTAAATGTGTTCAGAGGCAGAATACCAGATATAGGTAGTACAGAAAATTATCCTAACCATCCCTATCCTGTTTTGAACACCTGACACCGTCAAAGTCTCCTGTTCCTCCTCATATTTTTCTTCAGGTCTGCAAAATGTCCAATTCTGCCCTTTGCCAGAGGAATACACACACTCAGTTTCCTCACCGCCTTGTTTTCCCATGAATCCCTGGCTGTTATTACTACTTTTCGGAGCAGCTCCAGCAGATAAATTTCAATTCGAATTTCGAAATATCTCAAATCCCAGAAAAGTACATTTGAGTCAGGTCTGACATTGGTATCTTTAGGGAAGGCTCACTGCCATAGCACACAGGCCAGCATAAAGGCAAAGTCAAAACTTTAGATTACTTCTGCATGGTGGTGGCAAAGAAAAAGTGAGGATGACAAAAGAAAAATAACAACAAAGCAGGTTTGTGTGACACTTAGTTGGACTCCTTATTTTCAGTATTATTAACAAAAATAGCAGAATTAAGCGTTTAACTATTTTCCCACTTACTTTGCAGAAGTGTTGCGTGTCGGACCTTCTGGACCGATGTGCTGCCCTCTTAAGCTTGAAGACCCTGAACTCGGCTTTGAGCATCTGCTCGCTCCTCTCCATGGCGCTGATGTCGAAGTAGAAGTGGTGGTGGTCTACGTGAACTGGAAAAGACCCTTCTTTAGGAACACTGCCAGAGCCCTCGGGCCTGCCCCCTCCCCCGGATTCACCGCCCGGGCCCACCTCGGTCCTCGAAGCTGCGCACCACGTCTCCCTGCAGCAGCCCCGGGGCGCGGGTGATGCCGTTGGCGTCGGCCACCTTGTTGAAGAGATCCACCATGAACTGGGGCGGCTTCTTGCGGGGCAGCACGTCGGGCGGCAGCTCCTCGATGTCGAAGACCTCCCGCAGGCGCTGCAAGGCCGCGGCCAGCACGGCGTCCCGCGGGTCGGGCCGCAGGGGCAGGGCTCGGGCCGCCCGCAGGCTCAGCAGCCCGGCCAGGCACAGCCACAGCCACAGCCACGGCGGGCGGGTCGCCATGGACGGCGGCGCGGGCTCGGCCGGGCCGCCCCGCGGCCGTGACCGCGCTGCGTGAGGGGGCAGCGGCCCTGCGGCGGGCCCGGCCCGGCCCGGCTGGGCGCGGCCAGGCGGGAGAGCCGAGTGCAGCTCAGGGCGCGCAGCCCCGAGGGCCAAAGGCCCCGGGCAGGGGCGGCTGCGCCGCGCCCGGGCCATCAGCGGCGCTTAAGGGCTCAATGGGGCAGCGCCGTGCGCTCGATGGCATCGGAGCGGCCGCCTCGGGCTGCCGGGGACACGGCCAGGTGTCAGGGTGTCAGCGCAGAACAGAAGAGCACCGTACTTGCGAAACCCCCAGCCTTTCAATCGGCCGTCTCTTTTTTTTTTTTTTTTTTTTTTTTTTTTTTTTTTTTTTTTTTTTCCTTCAGCCAAAAGAGGCTTTGATTTGGAGATTGCTGAGCCCAGGTGGTTTCCTGTCGTTGCCGTAGCAATAAAAAGTATACTGGAACCTGGGCATGAGCTTCTGTACTTCCCTGCCTCCGGAACGCCCGGGATCCCGGCCCCTTCCCGTCCCACAGCCCGCGGAATGCGCGGGATCCCCGGCACCTTCCCTGGCACGTTCCCGTCCCACAGCCTGCGGAATGCCCGGGATCCCCGGCTCCTTCCCGTCCCACAGCCCGCGGAATGCCCGGGATCCCCGGCACTTTCCCCGGCCCCTTCCCATCCCACAGCCTGCGGAATGCTCGGGATCCCCGGCTCCTTCCCATCCCACAGCCTGCGGAATGCTCGGGATCCCCGGCTCCTTCCCATCCCACAGCCCGCGGAATGCCCGGGATCCCCGGCTCCTTCCCGTCCCACATCGGACGCTGGTGCGGCCGCAGTGCCGGGGCTCGGCCGGGCTGCAGGACGGAGGCTGCAGCTCCCCAGGCACAAACTCCGGCCCTACAGCGGCCCTTGGTGAGGAGGCTTTAAGGACAGAGTCCAGGGTTCTGCCAGTGCACTGCAGCAAGAACAGTCAGGCTTCCAAGTATTCAGGGATAGGGGCAGGAATACACACACATTCTGACGAGCTATTTTAAGGCTTAACTATTTCCCAGAGTCAACTAGCTTTCAATAATTTGCCTTGTTATTCCCCACCCCTTGGTTGATGAAAGGGATTCCACACCCCCAAATAAATACTAAAACGGAAAACCAACCCAAACGAACCAACCCCAGCCCTAAGGATCCTGCATAGTCGTGCTTTTCAAGGCAGTCTGGCAACTTACAGAGGAGCAAATAGAGCTTCCTGATGGTTCGTGCAGCAGTGCCTTCCTGATGGTTCTTGTGCCACATTGTGCTGTGTTCTCTTTCCAGGCAGGAAAGTATTGGGAGATATTTTGTGGGGCAGATAAAAATGTCTACTGGCTCCTCTGCTTAGCCACACGATGTTAGACAGGAGTATTTGCATTGAGCAACCAGATGGACCTATAGGATAATACGGTGGGGACAAAAGAGGCCAGAGCTCCACACAGTCCCGAATTTTTGCCCCATGAAGTGCAAAAGATGAGTGGAGGAAAATGAGAAGCAGTGGTGGGTTAATCAGACCAGTGTAAAGAGCACTGTTGCTGCACATAAAACTTCAGCCAACTTTGATCCTCACAATTCTCCAGTTGTCTTGAAAGGGCTGCAGGTATCTCAGCTCATGCCTAACAACAGTGCTGAATAGAATACTGCCCATTCAGCTGCCTGCCTGAGAGCTTGGAAAAAGACTAGTAAGACAGGAGAAATCATCACTACACTGTTTTTCAGTCAACCTAAAAAGCTTTGCTCCCCCTTTACTGCTTCTTCACATTCTTATCCGCACAAACTCTACCCTGCCCTTGGGTCTCTTAATTTACTCCCAGTATTCTCTCTAGGCATATACCTTCATTCTTACTCTCATGGTGCTGCTTCCAGACATTAATGCCTGGGAACACATAGCTAGGGTTCCCTAAGAACCTTAATTCTGCCCCAGAGGCAAAAATTTATGAAAAAAATCCTCTCTGTTTAATATAAGCTGGGACTACAAACAAAGAAATGTCTCTATCGTAGTGCAACTGCAGAAATTTCAGCCTACAGTTAGCCAAACATAACCCACTGAGTGCTGTGTTCTTTTATTTTCATATTTCTGATTAGGCAAACAACATAATGAAAGCCTCCCTCCCTATTCTTCTGTAAGACTGCATGACTCACCACTTATGTAAGCCTTATGCAGGAGTTGGTCATAGCTCCTCTGATGATTCTAAGTCCTGGTTTGCAATTAGTGCAAAGCTTCTACCTCCCTGTTCTGTACAATAAAAATAGGTTCTCTCAACTTAGGTGTTGTGAGCAATGTGGCTTTGGGAGCCCAGGAAAAGCTGTGAATCTGTAGGGAACTATGATAGGTAGTTAACTTAAAATTTTAGGTAGATTATCTAGAGTTTAGCATTGGCATTGCTTTCCCTTCTCTCTCAAATGACTGGATGAACAGCTTGTTGGGTCTGAAGAGTTCACAATCATCTGGCTGTCAGGTATAGTGCATGGGTAACAATGGGGGTATTTATTGTATGGCCTGCCACATTGTCTTTGATGCCATTGTGATGAATCTAGCATAGCAATATTGAAAAAGCATGGTTATTGCACGGGTAGAGCAGGCTGGAAGGTGCTTTTTAACACAGCTGCCTGACACTTCCTACGTTTTCTGTGCTGGTTCTGTAGTTCCAAATTGAATGACTCACAACAGGTCTATTCTTTCTGGGGAAAAGAAGATTACTTTTCTGCTCTGTGAATGAAACAATGATCCTCTGCAGTCTCCCCCGTATTTTTCAGGCAGGGAGCAAGATCATGAGGTGTTTCACTCAGTTCTGTAGCAGCTTAGGCCCATTTAAAACAAAGAAAAAATAATGGCCCTTGCATGAAAGACGTCAGACTCCTCTTTTAGTGGTAGGAGAGGTAGCAAAACCACACCCACCAGAACAAGTTAAGAATTACTATGGAAAGCTTCATCTACCAAGTTTCAGCTGAAGGCACAGGACTGTAGCACATCAGCAATACTGTGTGAAACAGGAGAGGTGACATCACCCCAGAGCCCAGAATAGCAATCCCGTGAGGGTGAGTAGATGGAGAGAGCCACTGAGTTAGTAAGCATTTAGTATATTCAGCATTTAGTCTCAATGTTGGAACATGGACATTATAAATGACCCTAAGTAGCAGAGTGTTTTTACCATGTATCTAAGAGGTAAATAAATATCTCTCCCAGAGGAGATAAACTCCCAAGTGCAGACTCGCCGGCACATCCTGACTCCTAGACACGTGCCCTATGCAAGCCCTTCAAAAACTGCACTCCCAGCAATTTTCTGTGATAGTTTTGTGTAACTCAGAGTTGCTGGATTAATGATCTAGACAATAAAATACCATATTACCTGGTTTTCCAACCAGGGCTTCTTTGTACTGTGCTATCATTTCTTGAAGCATTTTTGAAGGACCTGAAAGATGTATTGTTTCCCTCTAAAGACTGCATCCATCAGATGGAGAAACCAATGCAGGAATTAGAGTACCCAGAGGTTTACAGCAGAAATTCCAGACATTCCTGTTCCTAAAAGACCAGGCAGGTAGATTACTCCACATTTTAAATTAATCTCAATGACTATGTTACCAAATGTAAAACATGAGGGAAAATTAGGAAGAAATGTAGTAATTTCTTAGCCCATACATTGGAAATATGCCAAATTTGGATAAAATTGCTATGGAGTCTCTTAATACTTAATTTTTTATCATCTTTATATATCTTTTGAGAAGGCACAGCCACCAGCAGCACAAGAGGCATTGCATCATTTTTCCTTGCTGATTCACTGAGATAGAGCTGTTCCACTGTTCCTTAACACCTCTTCCCTCCAAGAGAGAAAACTTGTAATGACTGGGTGTTACATATGAATCACAGCAGTATGCAAAAGGAATTCAAGTTAGATATTATCCCAACAGTTTAATTATTCATCTACCCAGTTCCTAATTTTAAAAATAAAATTATTTTGGAATAGAAGAAAAAGAAAGTAACAATCAAGTTTCTCCCTTCTGTTATAGCCCATTGAAAGGCAGAGAATTGCAGCAGTAGAAGACAGCAACATTTAGCCACGTTTAGCAATCTTGGAATCAGAAGCAAAGCTGACCTTATGACTTGAGTACAACTGTCTATAGGAGATTGTCACCTGAAGCCAAAACTTGCAGATATAAAACCCTACTTCTTTATAGCTTTATTTGGAGGATGACATTTATTATCTGCAACAGCCTCAATTCTCCACATGGTGCAGCCCTTTGAGAAGAGACTGAGCCACAGACAGAAGTTAGGCATTTAAAAATACCATTTTTAATCACCATTTCTAATCAATCTATCCATTCAGCAACTTATATTTCTTTTGTGGTGGGTCATTATTGTCCAGAAAAGTCAAAGGCCTACAACCTTTAGCTAAGTCTTTTTTTCTCTATGCCAAAATTTAGTTCTATACCAGAGATGTGTTGGTTGGCTACACATCTTCAGCAAAAGGGTGAACACAGGAGAGTACTTACACGGGAGAGTAAGCACCTGGAATAATGTAAAAGGAGGATGGGATGGGAGGACAAGGGAAAACATCTTCATAAGCAAGAAGATTTTTTTACTTTCCCCTTTACAAATATGGCTTGAAACCAAAAGGAACAATTATGATGTTTTAACTTCTGCAGTTAAAGTATCATTTCAGCAGGTTTTACCTAGGCAGTGTACACAGTTCCCACAACTGCTTACTGAGAAATCAAAGTTTCTGCTATTTAGCTTTCTAGATTTTTATTTAACTGTATTTGTCTGCTCAGCTGTGTGGATGGTACTGTGGATGTACACATCCCACAGTAGCATGGTGTTCATCTTTTAGCATCTTTACAGGAAAGATATTTTCAGTAGTTCCTTGTGGTATGTTTTTTTAAATTTAAGTTTATAATCACTGTTCCATGCTGACACGTCTTTTATTAGTAAGATTTAGTGGTTTTATTCCCAGCTTTAT